CCACCTATAACAAGAACCCTAACAATCAAATTCAATTTATTTTATTTATAAATAAAGAAGAAAAGAAATTAAGCACAATAATAAATTGGTACATTATGAAAAGTTCGCGGGGCGACTTTGAGTCAATGGCTGTGAGCTTTCTGGTTCTACTTGGATGGGCTTTCTACGAGTCGAGGTTCTGCGGGCAGTACGAGGGATACTTAGTGATCCGTCCATGATTTCTGCGGAGATTCCTGGGGACCCGATTTGGATTGATTCAGGAACTCTTCAAGCCCTTCCACTTGACATTCCACCTGACACAGTGATTTGTAGAACACTCAGATTCCAATAATTAATAAACCCAGCCAGCGTGTGTTGTTTAATTAAGATGATTTGCAGAACATGTGAGGCATATTTAACAAAGATCTGTCAGCCCATAAAAATTGGGCTGACAGTGTATTACAGAATTCAAATCAAAACAGAGCAATTCCCAGAATATATGAATCTGAAAATTTACTGATTTTGGAGACATCCACTATCACTTTTCTTGGCAACCAAACGGATTTCAAATCAATAATGTTAAACAAGGTAGAACATGTGATTAATTAGAAAGTTTTTAAAGAAAAGTATATTAGAGAATCCAAATCGAACACAGCTATACCCGGTTTTTTCCTAATTTTTTAAAAAAAAATAGTATTCCCGCGCGGCTATACTCGTTCTTTCCTAATATTTTAAAAAATAGTATAGCCGAACGGCTTTACGTTTTGACACGTGGGAAGCGCTAAGAGGGTCCTTTTATAATAATATATACAAAACGTATAGCCGGACGGCTATACACGATTTTTAAATTTTTTTTATTAAACGGTATCGCCGCGCGGTTATACTCGGTTTTAGTAATGTTTCTAAAAAATAGTATAGCCGAACGGCTGTACGGGTTTTTCTTGTTTTAAATTTCTTAATAAATAGTATAGCCGAACGGCTATATTCTTTATATATATAGTGGCATCCTTTTTTTCTTTTAAATTTTTTTCCCTCAATTTTCATTTATCGATAAGAGTAGTTTAGAGCATTATCCATTACTATTAGGTCATTACCCGAGTCTCTATTGTCTTCTTTTGATTTTTTACTTTTCCAGAGTTATTACCCGTATAAACAATTTAGCATTTTCACGTTTAATAATTTATTATATACGTATGTACCTATTTTTCAATAATACATCCATGTTCTGCACACATCTTAAAGACTCCGTAAAGTTCACGCTTTTTAAAAAAGCAAACATACAATACTCATATTATACAGGTATGTATGTATTTTTCATATTTAATACACGTATTATTTACAAAAATTTCCTTAAGACACACATAATTCTCGCATATTATTGAATATAAATAATATATATTAAAAAATAATATAGTGGCCGAACACATAAGTTGTAATTTGCAAAACTTTTGCTGAATAAAACACTTACGTATTTTATTCATATTTTTTCCCATTTTGTATTTTATTAACTATGAATGAATGTATAGTCACGCGGCTACACGCTGGTTTTTCACCTATAATTGTATTTTTTTTATTGGGTTAATGACCTAAATGGTCCCCAAACTATTGCCCCAGTATCATTTTGGTCCATCAACTAAAATTTTCAATTCAAACGTCCTTAAACTTTACATAATGTGCCAATATGGTCCATCCGTTACAAATTCCGTGACTTCTGATCGCGCGATGGCCACGTGACTAAGTTTTTGAAGGGTATATACGACTTTTTGCGAAGCTAGCACAAAACTCCCGGGTTATTGATTTCAATGGTCCCCCAACTATTGCTCCAGTATCATTTTGGTCCCCAAAACTCCCATTTTCTTCTTCTTCCTCCTCCCTCCCAACTGCCACTAAATTGTTGCAAGATTCACTGTTAGCAATTCAGCAAGTTTCAGTCTTTATGTCGGCCATGGATGATGGCATTCCAAGCTTCGCAAACATACACGAATCACATAAAATCCTTGGGCGGAAGCCGTAAAAGAATGTCGAACACAACCTTCGGTGGAATGTATGGGGTGGTTGTTGAAAGCTTGGGTTTAGGGTTAGAATTTGGGGCCATTTCAATTTGTGCATCAATGGATTCAACACTCAACATACTCTCAGAGTCAACAGAAAAATCTAATTTCTTAACAGCTCTCCACCTATAACAAGAACCCTAACAATCAAATTCAATTTATTTTATTTATAAATAAAGAAGAAAAGAAATTAAGCACAATAACAAATTGGTACATTATGAAAAGTAAGGACGTTTGAATTGAAAATTTTAGTTGGTGGACCAAAATGATACTGGGGCAATAGTTTGGGGACCATTTAGGTCATTAACCCTTTTACAGGAGGATACTCACCTAAAAATACGATTTTGTCCCTCGATTTCACGGAATAATAAACAGACTTTGACGGATGGACCGTATTGGTACATTATGAAAAGGTTAAGGACGTTTGAATTGAAAATTTTAGTTGGTGGACCAAAATGATACTAGGGCAATAGTTTGGGGACCATTTAGGTTATTAACCCTTTTTTTATAATTAGTACAGCCGCCCCGCTATACTCGGATTTTTATTGTTTTAAAAACAAGTATAGCCGAGCGGCTATACACGGTTTTTCCTATTTTTTTAAAAATGGTATAGCCGATCGGCTTTACTGTTATTGACACGTGGCACCTAGCGCTAAGCGGGTCTTTTTTTAATATATATAATAGTATAGCCGCTCGGCTATACCATGTTTTTTTTTATTTTTAGGGTTATTCGCAGCAATGGTCCCTCAACTATACCCCAAGTTACACTTTGGTTACTCAACTCAAATATTAGTTGCAGAGGTCACTCAATTAGGTATTTTGTTGCACCGTTAGTCCTACCGTCAAGTCTGTTACTTTTTCTATTTAAAATGATAACGTGGCAAGCATTTCTTAGATTATTGATGGGCAAATGTGACTTTTCAGTTAAGATTATTTGTAGTAATGATCCCTCAACTATACTCGAAGTTTCATTTTGGTCACTCAATTAGGTGTTGTGTTGCACAATTAGTCCCTACCGTTAGAGAGACTTGACGGTAGGACTAACGGTGCAACAAAACATCTAATTGAGTGACCTTTGCAACTAATATTTGAGTTGAGTGATCAAAGTGTAACTTGTGGTATAATTGAGGGACCATTGCTGGGAATAATCCTTATTTTTATTTTTTAAAATAGTATAGCCGCACGGCTATAAGTATTTTGACACATAAGCGCCTAATCGCTGGGCGAGCCCTCTTTTCGTTTTTTTATTTTTTTATTTTTTTTATAAATAGCACAGTCGAGCGGCGATACTCGATTTTTTCTAATCTTTTATAAAAAATAATATAGCCGCTTGGTTGTGTTTTTCTTGTTTTAATTTTTTTAATAAATAGTATAGCCGATCGGCTATACTCTTTATACATATATTGCCATCCTTTTTTTCTTTTAAAATTTTTTCCCCAATTTTTATTTATTGATAAGAGTAGTTTATAGCGTTATCTATTACTATTAGGCCATTACCCGAGTCTCTTTTGTCTACTTTTGATTTTTTATTTTTCTAGAGTTATTACCCGTATAAACAATTTAGCACTTTCATGTTTAATAATGTATTATACATGCATGTATGTATTTTTTTAATTATACATCCGTATTCTGCACACGTCTTAAAGACTCGATAAAGTTCACATTTTTTTAAAAGTAAACATATAATACTCGTATTATACAAATACGTACATATTTTTCATGTTTAATACACATATTTTTTACAAAATTATTATGACACAAAATTCACATATTATACATATAATTCTCGCATATTATTGAACAAAAATAATATATATTAAAAAATGTAAATAATTTATATTAAAAAATAATATAGTGGCCGAACATTTAAGTTGTAATTTGCAAAAGGAATTTAACTAAAAAAAAAAAAAAAATTGTAAAAGAAAAAAGAAAAAAAGAGCCGTTCTCTCATTTGTTGTGGTGTATGGAAACCTTTCGTGACGTCTCATCACTTTGTCACTCACGGGGCGCGAAGCAGCCATTAACACACTGCCTTACGAGCTCCAAAGGCCTGGTCTGTAAATGATTCTCCCTTCGTCTACTCTGCTTCGCACCCTCCACCTTCCCTCCTCCTCCGCCACTCAAATGGCGCGTTACATTCCTCGCGCCATTCTCCTGTCCATCACCCCCATTCCCATTCGGCACACCGCCGCGTCATTTCCCGCTCCCCCGCATTCAATCTTCCCTCTCAAAACGCAGCGTTTCTACTCCTCCAAGTCTTCACTTTTCGGTTGGAGATTTCACTCTTTGTGCGGAGACGAATGGAGAGGAGCTGCGAGGCTCCCGTTGTTAAGCGGGCCAATCTACAGTTCGCAGAGAGAGTACCGAAAGATGAGGCGGAGGGCCACAAAAACCAAGGAGAAGGAGAAGAAGGAGATAGAGCTCGATGTCAGCATTTGCATTGAGGAAGATTTGCCTGACGATCCTGAAGTCCTGGTAAGCTCAGTACGACCACCACGTGTTTGTGTAAATGTTTCTCGGTATAATACAAGCATAGCATATTAGCTGAAGTAAAGTGGAGTTTGAAATTTGCAGAGTATTGCGGAATTGCTTCGTCTCAACGTTCCATTGGCGATGAAGCTAGCTTTTGATGGTTTGAATGGTTCAGTGTACAAAACAAGGGACAATGCCATAAGTGACGTTGGTGGTTTTGAAAGCGTCGAGCTTTCGGTGCTTCTCTGCAACGATGAGTTTATCCGAAAACTTAACAAGGAATGGAGAAACGAGGACCATGCCACCGATGTTCTTTCGTTGTCACAACATGTCCCTGATCTTAAGCTTCCCATTGTACTAGCTCGTTTGCTTTGTTCTCTTTGTTAAATCTTATTTGTTTTCTTATTACATAACTTTAGTCACTGAGCATTTGTATCATTTGCAGCTTATGTTGGGTGACATTGTGATTTCTGTTGAGACAGCGGCAAGACAAGCAGAGGAAAGAGGTCACTCACTTATTGACGAGATACGCATTCTCATGGTTGGTTGGTTTAAGTATATGTATATATGTTTTAAAGTTTATACTTTGGGGTGACACTTTTTGGTGTAATTTGATAAATTTAATCACTGAATCCTCCTGTAGGTACATGGATTGTTGCATTTATTAGGATTTGATCATGAGGTTAGTGACGAGGCCGAACTGGAAATGGAGAAGGAGGAGGAGCTTCTATTAAAGAGCCTTGGGTGGAAGGGGAAAGGATTAATTCAGAGTGCACATGATGCTGAAACCCATGTTAATTCTCATGAGGAAAAACCAGATGGTAGTTTTATCTTTTTTCGGCTTCAGTTTTACATCCTTTTGTCATTGGACCTTATTCATTCCGTAGCTATGATTTTCTTATATAAATTTGTAGTGAGATAATCTTACAGGTGAATTGTTAAAAGACAGGAAGAGAGAAGGCAGCCTGCGATTTTATAAACCAAAGTTCAAATATATTTTCTGCGATATGGATGGTAAGTTCGAGGTTATTGTGCTCGTACACGTTCACTGTGCTGTGTATTAAGCTTATGATAAACTTTTTAT